AAATATTTTATTAATTATCTTAATTTTTATATATTTTTAATATAATTAATTATAAAATATGAGATCTCCCCAAATTTGGGCCTAAAGCCCTTGCTTGGGTGGCTTTACCCAAGGGCGAGCGCTGCTATGGTTGCAAGCCCAATATCAATTACAATATTATAAAATTATATTATTCCCATATAATTTTATTATACCATCTAAGCTTTAATCAATAAATTATATATATTGTTATCGTGAGTATCACTCTAATTTCATATAAAGCCTAACACTTTTGTTTTTTTGTTTTTTGGATTGTGAGGTTGGTTACTCTATTATTTAACTCAATCCACCTTAACGACCTGCTCAAAGAACTCACCAAACCTCCTTTTTCGTCCAGGCTAGGAAATTGGAAATTGTAGTAGGGATATACCATTATACCTTGGAGAGTGGACACTTTCAAAATTACATAACAAAAATTACTCTCTTTAATTATCTTAATTGATCTTATTTTAAGTAGATCTGATAATTTGTGTTTTTGTATCTTAATTGTGTTGATATAATTAAAACACGAAATATTATAAAATTAAACATGAACGCAATATGAATTCCTATTTGTGTCAATATCCTAAACACGTACATATATATATTTAATAAATGTGTAACACGACACGACATGATTAACACGTTGATTAAATGTATTAGGATTTTTTTATACAATAAAACACAATTAAACAATTAACATAATATTTGTCTAATACAATTAACATGTTTAACATGATTAATTTAAAATATTTACAATTAAATATAATTTTATTATTCAAATTTAAAATCAATAATTATAAAAACAATTATAATAAAATAATAATAACATCAAATATAATAAAATTTAACATAAATAACATACGTAAAATTTATTATTATACTAATAAAATCCATCATTAAAATTAAACACGTCATTTATATACATTTAAATATAATAATATAATTAATTAAACGTGTTTTACACATATTAACCATGTCTGACAAGGTTGAATATAAAATTTTCCTATCTTAACCGTATCGACACGATTAAGATATGAAACACGATAAAACTAAACTCAAACTTATTTAACTCCGTGTGTTCTCGTGTCGTGTCAAAAATTATTATTTCTAATTTTAAGTCTCAAGTTTGAATCAATTATTCAGATATTTCGTAGAATGAAGTATTATATCACATATATAATATTTGCATATATCATATTGATGGAGAGCTACCTACACACTAGCATCAATTCACCCAACAATAATATCAAAAACTAATTTTTTTTCTTTTGGGAGTAAATACATATTCCTTTTTCTTTCTTTCTTTATTTCTTTTCTAACCAAGAAAAAGATTGGGAAAAAATGAAGAAAATGGAGGGGGGATGGATGATGATTTTATAAAGGGGAAAGGAAGAAGTGGATTGGTTCAATTATATCTAACCAATACGATTTTCAAAAAAAAAATTTATATCTAACCAATACCAACTCAAACGCGTCTCTCACACTGCTGCTGTACATTCAACTGCCCCAAAGTTCTAGGACTATTCCTTCTCCTTGTCCATGGGGCATGGCGATTCGAAATATTTTGCTCTCCTCTTCACTATTTTTGTCCATAAGTCTCTTTGCCATTGGGGGCCTGTGGTTTGGTTGAGTTCAGATAGAAGCAACGACCTCACAATTTGATATTAAATACATGAATTACAGAGCTAGTACGACAGCAGATACTTAAAAAATTCCTTACCCTTTAGCTTTAGTAAGTACGGTCATGCAGCTTTAGTAAGTACGGTCATGTTGCACCTTGCCCTTTAGCTTTAGTAAGTACGGTCATGTTGCACCTTGCCCTTTAGCTTTAGTAAGTACGGTCATGTTGCATAGAACAACATCTCACATGGCTCCAGCGTTGATGATGACCACGTAACAAAACTAACTCTTTTGACTATTTTGCCTGGCGCTGCTACATTTCAAGACTTGCTTGTATAAATACCTTAGCCATATATGTTCCATCTTCATCAACTTCAACCCTGAATACTTTGAAATCCCTAAGTTGACAGCTAGTTATTATTTTCAAAAAAAAAAATGAAGGCAGGAGGTATTGAGCTTGGGGAGGGGGGGAAGAGTTCTACCTCAAGAAGTGGAGTGAACAAAGGTGTATCTATACTGGACTTTATTTTCAGGATACTGGCATTTGTTGGTACCCTGGGGAGTGCAATTGCCATGGTGACTACAAACGAAACGCTACCTTTCTTTACGCGGTTTCTTCAGTTTAGGGCTGAGTATGATGACGTACCAACGTTCACGTAGGTTTTCCTGGTCATGGGGTTGTTTATATTCATTATAATATATGTTAGTTTATATTTGTTGGAAGTGTATTAAACTTCTGCCTCTTGTGACAGGTTCTTTGTGGTTGCCAATGCCATTGTAAGCGGCTATCTGCTGCTTTCTCTCCCTTTTTCAATCTTCCACATCGTAAGGAGCAGTGCACAAAGGACTAGGGTGATCCTGATCTTCTTTGACATGGTAATTTGCAGCTTGAAGGAATCATGGTGCATTTCCAAAACAATCATACTTAATTCGATGAAAAAAAGCGTTAATTGTAGATAAATTAGTCACCGTCAAAACCAAATTATGTGAAAATACAGGCACCATTGTAGTTAGCATATTAAGACAAGCCTAAATGAAAACGTACACAGAATTAAACTTTTGAACCAGTCAAGTTGATTACCACATTCTAATGGAAAGAATTTTACGGCCATGTAGGTGATGCTGGCTCTTTTAACGGCAGGAGCTTCTGCAGCAGCAGCTATTGTGTACTTAGCACATAAGGGCAATGCCAGGGTAAATTGGCTTGCCATCTGTCAGCAATTCAACTCCTTCTGCCAGCGTACGTCTGGCTCTTTGATTGGATCCTTTGCAGGAATCATCCTCCTCGCACTGCTGATTATGTTATCGGGCGTGGCCCTTGCTCGACGTCCTTAGACCATTGTTCATTTTGACAATGAACTTATCTTGGATGTATATGATGTGCACATGTATGTTTCTTTTCTGTTATCTTGTGTTTGCAACAGTGTAACTGTGAACGAATAAGATCTGTGCATCATCTTGTCTGCGATCTTCCGTTTCTTGGTTTTACATGATATGAATTAATTTTCAATAAATTCCTTTTAATCATAAAAATCTTTTTAACCACTCTGATTGCTCAATTGTTTCGCGCTTCTGCAGAACATAACGAATTTTCTGAATTTGAGGATGAGAATAGTGCACTCATAATATTAGTTGTTGCTTGTTCATTGTCAGATTTACTGCTTGTACATCCTTCTTACAATGCAAGTAATATCAAGGGCGCTAGTAATATTTCCCCAAGTAAACTCAGTAAAATTACTAAAAGGTGAAAGCACATCTCCAGAGTGGAGTGTAGCAATCAACTAATATTTCTTCCAGCAAACTGTACAAATACCTCCTAATTAGTCATAAGCAGGGGTGGAGCCTCCTTATGGGATGGGGCGGGCCAAATTTTAAAAAATACTTTACATGCTATATAAATTTTTTTTATTTTTTTATAAATTTTCTTAATGGACTTTCCAAAATAATTTTTTATTTAATAATTAATACAAATAAAGAATAACAAAATAATCCCATATGCTTGACTCAATTTTTAAATTTTTTATTTTTTTTCAATTTATATTATTATTACTATTTATTTCTATTCTGTTTACTTATATGTTTTAAATCTGTATAGATTTTCTTTCACAAGTTTCTACGAACCATTAACCATCAATCATATTCTTTTTCATCCTTTTTATTATGTCATATGTAGATGCTTCTACTTATCATATCCTTCTTTTTTCTGTTATGTAGATTTTATTTTTTATGATTTTAATATTTAAAAATAAATAAATTATTATGTAATTATCAAATATACGTTATAGTGTTGCATTGTTACTTAGAATTTCATCAATACATCATTTTCTATTTAGAATAACCAACACATTCTAGTATGTATGTTGCACACTTTAAGTAACAAAGATATGCATACAAATTGATATAATGAAATAACTGTATTTCTTTCAATATAATTTTATTTATTATATATTTTTAATAGCTCTCAAAAAAATTTTATTTAATAATAGTTTTATTCTTCAAATTGTTTGATAAAATTAGAGTCATTATGGTTGGCATATTGCTAGTTAAGCCTAGTAAATAAATTCTAAACTAATATGTTAAGTCTATCAAATTTTTGAAAAAAAAATAAAAGTGAGACTACTAATCCAAACCCATTAAGTTTTAATATAAACCTAAGCCTATTATAACATATTATATCTCAATAACTCAATATGTTAATTAGCAATTTAAGAGGTAAATAAAAAATAAGAGGAGTGCTAGAACGAATAAAGTAAAGAGGCAATTCATTAGAGTTTGAAAAATTATTTTCTCTTTCACTCTTGAGCTCAAAGAGTGAGAGAGACTCCTTTTATAGTTTCATTCAATCATATATATAAATGACACCATCATTACTATGAATGTGCATTTTTTTGTATGTCCAATGTCTTTTGAATTTTATTTAATTTTTTAGATGATTGATAATTGAATTATATATAAAGTTCTCTCTAACTATTAGTATCTAGCACCGAGGCATTGTGAAAGACACCAATCGTGATAAGGTTAGAAACCTCACTAAGGTGATTCACTAATCTTGACAATGTTGAAAACCCCACTAAGGTGAAAAAAATAACCAAAATCTCACTGTAATTGACTAAGCCAAAAATATTAAAAACCTTTTACTATTTTAAAAAGAATATAAAGAAAATAAGCACTCTTACTTAAGAAAATATTTTTTATTTGTTCTCAACTTCTGTGTCTCATAACTAAGCCTAAGGATCTTATTTATAGTATTATAGGCCCACATTTTAATAAAACTCTACTTCAAATTGTCTAATACAACTAGAATAGTTAATAAGAGATTTAAATAAAATAAGTGTTTTATTCCTATATAGAACATGATTAGCCTAAAATCCTAGTTCAAGTAAATTAAACAAAAAGAAGAATTCTACTATACTTATAATTCTTAAATAATAACAATATAATAATATCCTACTGTATCATTCTCTCCAAGTTGAAAAAAAAATTGTTTTCAAAATTTGTGTCTTTTTCATGTTCTCCGTAGTGAAGAAAGAGATCAACTACATTGAAAGTTGCGAAAACTTCATAATCTTCAAGAAGTTCGATCTTATGAGCATTCCCATTAACACGTTCCAAGACTCGGAATGGTCCATTAGGTTGAGGAGATAATTTTGTACGAGACTTAGGAAAGAGTTCTTTCTTTAAATGAATCCACACTAAGTCTCCTTTTTTAAAACTAGCTGGTTTTTTGTACTTGTTGGCTTGCTTTTAGTATCTATCAGTTTGACAACTAGTCTTTTCTTGAACTTCTCCATGAAGTTTCTTGATTTTCTTAGCACGTTCTTCAGCATCAGCATTAAATTCACAAGTAGTTGGTAATGCAAAAAGGTCCAAAAGACTAAGAGAGCACTTTCTATACACTACTTTAAATGGACATCTTTTAGCAGTTTGGCTCACAGAATTATTATAAGAGAATTCTACTTGTACTAACACACGATCCCAATAACAAATGTGCTTACCCACAAAGCTTCTCAATAAGTTTCCCAAACTTTTGTTAACCCATTTTGTTTGACCATTTTTGGATAAAGGTGAAGATACTTCATTCTTCTTAGAAACTAACAAGGGATATAAGAGGCTTGACTCATGATAAACTTTGTTTTAAGCCAGACATAATGATGAGTGCTTTATCTTCCTCTTGTCTCTTTGGTCGATCTTCTGGCTTTACTATAGTCAACATAATTTTTACTCCATCTTTAATGAAGGAATAAGTATTCTTGTATATATCACGATGAGTTTGACAATCATATTGCCATGGACGTCCCAATAACAGGTGGCATGCATCCATTGGGATAACATCACACCAAACTTCATCTTGATACTTAGTTCTAACAGAGAATTGAACACAATTACACTTCATTACTGTAACTTCATTTCCTTTTCTCAACCATTGTAGTTTATAAGGATGACGATGTACTTTAGTTAGAAGTTTCAACTTTTCCACCATGTAGTTGGCAACAGCATTCTCACAACTTCAACTATCAATAATGACATTGCAAACCTTCCCTTAGGATGTATATGTTGTGACGAAGCCAACTTTCATCTTCAGTCATCATAACAGTGTTAAGGTTACGGCAAACAACAAGAGTTTTTCCATGATTGGTAGAAACTTCTTCTATCTCATCATTGTTGAAATTTTTTAGTTCATCCTTTATTTATTTCATGCTAGGTTCTTCCATAACTTTTTCTTCTACTAAAGAGATAATTATTCGATTTGGACAACAGAAGCAATATGCCCAAATCTTTAGCATTTGAAGCACTTCTTGTTAACATTAGAAGCATGGGTAGAAGTAGTCTTTTCATTATTATTGTTTGAAGTTTTGTAAGAGTTTACCTTTGGGGGTGGAATAGTTATCGAACTTTGTCTCTAATAGTTTGAGGTGGAATCTTTTGTTCAGATGAACTCACTAAGCTTTTCCATAATTGTTGTTTCTCAACCTTTAATGCTAATCTGATGACATCATTTAAGTTCTAATATGGTTATAGTTGAACATCTATAATTTCAATATTAAGACCTCCAAGATAATAAGCTATAGTTTGCTCTTCAGGTTCATGGACATTGCATTTCATATGAAGCTATTCGAACTCCATTGTATATTCTTCCACCAACATTGTTTTTTACTTTAAGTTATGAAATTTGATAAAAATTTCTTATTGGTAATGCTCAGAAAAAAACCTACATTTGAGTTCTCAATGCATCTTATCCCATGTTATAACCTTGTTGCAACCTTCTCTTTCTCATTGTTGTTTGAGATTTTTCCTCCAAATAAAGGTGTGCTTCTTCAATTTAATTGCCACAAGCTCACACGTCTTTCATTGGGAATATCTTTGAGCTCGAAAACTCTTTCCACTATGTAAAACTAGTCAAAGAAGCCATTATGGTGAAGTCTTCCTTTAAACTCAAGAATGTCGACTTTAATTCTCAAGTCTCTAGTAACAACAGTTCTCAGTTGCCGTATAGGTACTTCTTCATCAATGGACAAATTTTGATGGAAAGGGTTGGTATCATCCTCTTCATCATTAGAGCTGCTATTGTTGATTTAAGCAACATCATGTCTTATAAATTGCACTTATAATTCTTGAATTAGTGACGTAGTTCTTGAATCTCGATCTGGTGATCAACTTTTCAACGATTTTGACGTCTCGGCCACATTTAATTGTATAGTGATGATGATGTGGGGATGTAGAAAAAAAAATGATGATATAACTATAAAATAGTAAAAGAAATAGAATTACTCGAACAAAAAGAGTCGAAACCTGATAACGAACCTAAACTGCACAACCAACAATGATCCTCCCGCTTTGATACCAAATTGACATCAAGACACTGTAAAGACACTTAGGCATTGTAAAAGACATCAATCGTAAGGAGATTAGAAACCCCACTAAGGTGAATCACCAATCTTGGTAAGGTTGAAAATCTCACTAAGATAAAATTATAGCCAAAATCCCACTTTGATTAGCTAAGCCAAAGATATTAAAAACTTTTTACCCTTTTGAAAAAAGCTTAAAAAAAATAAACATTCTTACTTAAGAAAATATTATTTATTAATTTTCAACTTCAATGTCTCATAACTAAACCTAAGCGTCCTATTTATAGTATTACAAGCCCACATCCCAATAAAACTCGACTTCAAGTTATCTACTACAATTAAAGTAATTAACAAGAGATTTAAATAAAATAAGTATACTATTCCTAAATAGAACATGAATAGCTTAAAGTCTTAGTACAAGAAAATTAAATAAAAAATTTTTTAAAATAGTTATAATTCTTAAATAATAATAATTTAATAATATACTCT